ATTTGAAAAACCACTGTAAAGTGTGAAGTACTTAAATAAGATAATGTTAGTTATATAGATAATAAATTACAGACAAGACTGTCAAACTTTGTAACAAACTATTGGTAAAACTTCTGTATCTAGGTATATATCGTATCGTGGCACTAATATCTGGATACATTATATTGTATCAACTACTATGATGGGATTTGCACCCCAAATAAATACATGTAAGCTCTTGTTATGCTGTAAATATGGGATCTGTGGGATCCTAACACCAATAACTTTTGGGTTTCGAGTTCAACCAGAAACTGCTAACAGAACTAAATGTTTAACCCTTTAGCTGCTACTAGTGAAGCATTTCTAACAATTCTGAATATTTGGATATATGTAGCTTGGTATCACATTCCTTAAATTCAATAACTTGTACTCAAGAATTGCCTATCAATTAAATTATCTTGTATATTAGTTTTTCTTTTATTAAATTTGTAATAAACCTTTAGACAAATATACAAAGTCAGTTTGATAAAAAAAGAGAATGATTTTGCTTAGTGTTCATGTTTTGAAATTGTTTTATTTCTGATTATTAACAAATATTCTAATGGTATAATTAGTATCATATATTGAAATAATTTTGTTATGTTAGTATTAAGCAAGTACCATTAACATACTGGCTTTTTTTCTACAATTCTGTCTACAATTCATTCATGACATTTGAGCCAATTCTGAGTTACATGCAATAAACAAAACTGTCTACCAGTATGATGTTAGCAACATAATGTGTGTACAACAAGGTACCTTTTGGTCTTTCAAGGCTGTCCTGTAAAGTGCTGGTCTTTATTACTATTGATAACTATTCATTCAGTAAGCTAAGCACCCTATTAAAAAAAGTAAAACCTTTAATTTAAGCTTGTGTCAACCCATCTTATTGGTTTCTTGATACAGTATAAAGAAATGAGGTCTATGTTCCATTGATCCCCCAGAAAATATTGTAAACTTCAATAAGATCACTTCTTACCCTTCTTTTATCAAGAGAAGATAAGTCAGAGATCTTAATCTTAACTTATCTCCATGACACAATCCTTCCATCCTCAGAATGATCATTGTAATTCTCTTCTGTTTTCGATAAGCCAATGTGCTTTCTTAGATAAGAAGATCAGAACTGTACACAAGATTCTAAATGAGGTTTAGTTATTGATTTGTATAAAGATGTAATTACTTTTTTGAACTGATTAATATATGTCTATAAATACATAATAAAATTCTGTTAGTTTTAATACTAGCAACAGACCACTGCCTCGTTGGATTGACTTATATACCTATAACCCTAGATCTTTTATATTAGTCACCATGTTTAGTGGAATCCCACTTCCCCATCCAAATTAGACATGTGACCCAAATTATGATCACCCAGCTACATTACCATGCACTTACTATAACTAAAGTTTAAATTCGATGACAAGGAACCCACTTTGAGACTAATAATGGCTGGAGACGGCTTGAATGGGTAATAAAGAAAAACTTTAATATAAGTTTAACATGACAGCAAATGTACAACGTTTCGACAAGGGTGAAGGAGCTCTCAGCTACTATTGTTGAGTTAGCCGGACGTGAGGGAGCTCTCAGCTATTATTGTTGAGTTAGTCGGACATGAGGGAGCTCTTATCTACTATCGTTGAGTTAGCCCTGCAATCTCCAGAGTCTATACCGCACTCTTTCTTGCATGATCAAAGCATCAATTTTTCCTTAGTTCTACCCAACTAATCTAGAGTATAGTTATATAGAAGTCAATCCCGGTAGAAGGAAACATGTGAAGCTATACCCTGACTTGGCACAAGTGGGCGTGTCTACGCAAGAATGCATACTGTTGTTTATTGTTGTTTTTTACATTTGTTTGTTATAAAGATTGTGTTCACTTTTCCATCAACGTGTTTAGTTTCTTATTTTCTCACATAGGCTTAATTAAAACTCAGTCAAATTTTCAAACACAGTAACTCCACAATCCTGCTTACCCTGCTGTTATTAAGTGAAATTTCTTTTACTTGCATGGTAATCAGTTCACCTGAGAATACTACAAATGTCCTGCAGACTTCACCTACATTTTTAAATCTTATAAGTATGATTTACGTAAGCACCATGTGGTTGTAGGTTAATAAATACACTCATCTGATGTCAAAGATATTATATTAAACAGATCCAATGTTGAAAAAAAAAAATTTTTTCAGATATTCGAGCAAAAAGTTACATAAGGGTTATCTGTGCTATCTGTCTCTAATTTTGGAGTAAGGGACTACAGGGAAGGTACCTAGTCAATAACACCCACTGTCAACTCTTGGCCTGCTCTAATTGATTAGCGAGATGTGTTCGTCGATGTTTTAACGGCCCTAAAGTGGTTTACGGTCCGGCACCTAATCACTGGACCACGCCTGGTCCATGAAAAACAAGAAGCTATTGGTTGTCTCTCCGTGAAAGATTAACAGGTCTACAAGAAATAATTTTACGTGTAGTTATCAGTCATTCAAAGTTACGAAAGTTTAGTATAACTAAAGATCAAATATTACTTAAACAATACGTGTATAGCAGAGAACAACCTGAGCGTCTCCACTCAGAAATAGGACGTAACAGGAATAAAGCAGGTCAAATAGAAATTTCAGTCTAAGAGTGAAGACCATTATGATAAAGAAGAAAACAAAATGGCGGTAGACTGCTTGAGAGTTGATTAAGAGCCATTTCCGTTTCAAAGGTTCTAGTGTTCTTTCGGGTTTTAATGTATACGCTAAAGCACTTCCGTTCCATAGTTTCGTAAACTAATAACATCACGTGAAATATATTTACCAAAAACATTTCTAAATTTTTTATCGGAAAATGATAAAGCTAAAGACGTGAGGGAAGCTCTCAGCTATTATTGTTAAGTTAGCCGGACGAGTTAGCCGGACGTGAGGGAGCTCTCAGCTATTATTGTTGAGTTAGCCAAAACAATAATAGCTGAGAGTTCCCCCCATGTCCGGCTAACTTAAGAATAATAGCTGAGAGCTCCCTCACGTCCGGCCAACTCAACAATAGTAGCTGAGAGCGCCCTCATGTCCGGCTAACTTAACAATAATAGCTGAGAGCTCCCCCATGTCCGGCTAACTTAACAATAATAGCTGAGAGTTCCCTCACGTCTGGCTAACTCAACAATAGTAGCTGAGAGCTCCCTCACGTCCGGCTAACTCAACAATAATAGCTGAGAGTTCCCTCATGTCCGGCTAACTTAACAATAATAGCTGAGAGCTCCCTCCATGTCCGGCTAACTTAACAATAATAGCTGAGAGCTCCCTCATGTCCGGCTAACTTAACAATAATAGCTGAGAGCTCCCT